AATCAAATCAAAATGTGACTCATTTATAGTTCTTGAAACTAGTAAGAAATATCTACTTATTTATTTATACAAACATTAATTATATCAAGGGTATCTATAATAAATATACAATCAATAGCAGTACAATAGTACAATCTATACAACAGGTATTTACTTACATCACATATACGATATACTTATTGTACTATTTGTATAGATTGTACGTTTATTAAAAAAAATAAAAATATCAAGTTTACTTAATTATACTATTGATTGTATAACAATAGTAATAGTATTCTATAAAATGATTTTTTGGACCCAAAAATAATAAAGTTAGGTATCTTAGAAGTTAATACCTAGTGTATGACTAAAAAATGTGTCATATAATTATGGTGGAATACGGGGACCATGTATTAATAAAAGTGTATATCAGTGGTTCTCAATCATAGGGTTAGGTTAGCCTAAACCTAACCTACCCAGTTTTGGGTTACGAATAATTTTTAATGGGTCATCAAAATATGAGTTATAAAAAAATAATATAAGTAAGATAAAAAGTTAATTAAGTTTCTTTTAGTTATGATAATTTAAAAAAAATTAAGGTGGTGGGGAAGGGTAAGTAGCACCCTAATGAACTTTATTTTCCAAAAGGTAGCATGAAAAGTTGGGTAAATATTTTGGGTTGTCAACATAAAAAGGTTGAGATCCACTAGTGTATATAACCTTAGTATATACACTTCAGTACTTTACCTACACTAAACATATAAACTTCAACTTAAATTATTATATAATTTATTATACATGAGTCTAATTCTATTTAAGAAAAATTTGATTGATTTTAAGATAATAGGTAGTTTATCTACAAAATACCCTATTAATTATTATTTTTGTTCAATTTATGACACTTATTCACATATTAATGGGGGAAATTTCCTAAGATTTTTCTTGGGTTAGAATAGCACTGTTGCATAAAATACTTTCAGTTTGAAGTTTCCTACACTTATCCCCAGTGTTACTGTTTGATTTTTAAATTTTCAGCTATAGTGTTATTTTAGTATTTTACCTACAATGGATATATTTAAATAAAATCAAAATAGGTAATTATAAATAACMTATGTTTTGAGAACACTCCTACATATGTTATGAAGTTATAAAGCACATTAAGAAAAATGTAATTACATGGCATTGCTGCAAAAAAAGTAACATACATGTTCGAGGAGTATTAACAGTTAACACTGATATAGAAAAATCAAAAAAATCAATAATAATTGGCCAATCTCATATTCTGACACAAAGGACAAACCAAAACTCAAAGCTACAAAATGTTATTGGCTAATGTTTTTTGTGATGTTTTATTACTAGTTAGAATAATGTGAGTCAACAATTTAAGTACATCTATATTACATTCTTTCAAGGAAAATATTGCATCATGTTGAGCTTCCCACCTAGTAGGGCACACTTTTTTTAGAACTTTTGTAYGAATTTTAATAGAAATATCATGTCCAAATGCTAAAAGAGCCCATCTTGGCGCACTACTATCAAAAAAATTAAAAATTGCTTGAACTGTGTCAAAAAAATTCAATACTTTACTATGACATTTAGCTGCATCAGAAATTACTAAATTAAGATTGTGACTACAACAATGAATATATGAAGCTGATGGAACAAGTTCTTTTATTCTAGTTTGAACGCCAGAATGGACTCCGCTCATCACAGATGCCCCATCATAATCTTATCCACGTCATTTGTTAATATCCAAGTCAAGTTTTGATAGAATTTCTCATATCATCTGTGTATAATCAGCAGCTCAGTGGTGTTTTAACTCAAAAAAACCTACAAATGACTCCTTAACTCCTAGTTTCTTCTCTTCAAAATTTATGACAGTACCTATACCGAATAATAACACTCAGCTGATCCAGTTTAGTTATATCTAAAGTAGAATCCATTATAATGGAAAAACATTAGCATAACTTTATTTCATTACAAATAGTTTTGAGTAGATCAGAAGATAAAATTCCAATTAATTCATCAACTATTGTGTGACTCAGATACTTGATTTTGCTTTTCTCACAATTAATACATTTGCTCAATATGGGATCATAATTTGCAACTAATCTAATGGTTAGTAAAAATTTACCTTCGGAAAACTGATTTTTTGAGCTAAATTTACCTTCATTTTCTCGAAGAGCAGTATTTCCACTAGTTAAATGTAAAATTATCATTATAATTCTTTCCAGTATACTTCTCCAGAATGCAGCCTCTTCCGATAATTGATTTTCTAGTTGACTATCTAAAACTTTATTCTTTGCCCACAKAGATCGAATTTTTACAGATTCAATATGTTGAATTGAACTTTCATGTTTAAATATTTTTTGAGAAAGATGTTGCCAGTTATCTATTCCAGTACTCCATTTAGAATTATAATTTATATATTGTCTGTCAGCAAAAAGCCAACATGATTCACAATAAACATAATTTAGGATAGGTGAATAGCAAAGCCATGTACAAGGAATATGATTACCAGATTTTGATGATAAATAATAATATTCTACTGAAAATTTTCTTTTGTCTTCATTGCGAGGAAATTCAATTTTTGGTCTACGTGGTCCATATTTTAATAGATCTTTTGATTACACTTGTTAATGTTATTCCAAGAAAATGTGCTTGATCAGTTGGATAATCATGAAGTAAGTTCAGACCTGAATAAAGTAAATTAAACCATTAAATTCAAAATAATACTGAAGGTACCCATCACTAATGATCTTTTTATTATTGTATTCAATACTAAAATGTTAATTGTAATGAATTGAACACCTTTGTTTGAAAAAAAGTAAGAACCAATACATAATAAAATGTAAATACTTCTTGATTCTTCTTGTGACTTAGTTTTAGTATGTTTGTTTATTATTTATTAATTTGACTTACTGAAATATCACAATCATAAATTTTATGATTTATAAAGCAGGATCACATCTACTTTATTAAATTATATTTAAACTACAATTAATAAAAATATAAACAATAAATTACCTTGGATTTCCATTGATTCATTTTTATT